AAAATGGGACTATAGAAAGTAAATAAAGTATCCAATTCATCATCACCCAGCTTCTTCTTGTACAAAATTTCCCACTTGATCTTCGATCTTCATGTCCCAAAACAGCGACATGGATGGGGGTTTGGTTTCAAACTTTCAAGAAGCGTTTTGACCTTCTTCATCTTCAGAGGATGGCAATGGGCTAGAAGCTTCGGCCAGGTATTCAAGCATGCTTATTACTTCAGCTGTGTCGTCCAAGTAATATTTGGCTTTGCTTGGCTTTTGCCCAACAGTGCAGGCAAAAACTGACGCCGTTGGAGAAAGAATATTATTACTGGACAACGCATTACCAATTATTTCGAACATGTCCTCGTCCGATCTGTCGTCGCCTATACACAACACGAAGTCGGCGAGGTTCCCATCCTCCGCCATTGATGAGAAGATTTTTTCAGCCACTAGGCCTTTGGTAACCCCCTGGAGCAAATACAAAGAAATCAGCAATCAAAATCAGTTCGTACCGTGCTGGAAGGTAGTTCAGTTATATATATATTGCATGAGAAAGTATGTCCGAGTGCTCATAAAATGTTGGACAGTGTCACAATCGCACTTGTCAGGTCTTGGACAAGCATAGAAAAGCTATGGTGTTATCAACTACGCACTTCATCAAGATAAATGAATAAGAACACACCTGTGGTTTCACTTCTACAATAAATTGGCCGCTTTTGACTGCAACAGGTTCGTTTGCCAAAACACTCTCTAAATGATCCAACATCTCCTTTGCCTGGGACGATCCGAAGCCAGGATCTGCATCTCGATACTGCCAAACCAAAGCACTTTCCTTTCGTTCGATTGATGAACCATCAGTAGCCTCGGTGTATAATTTCATAACAGGTTCGGCTATCTGCATCCATCCGAAATCAGAATTTTGGCCGCAGATCTTCCACTCCTCATTTTGTGACTGCCTGGCCATTTTGAACAGAATGGATGATAGAATTAGAATAGAAGAAAAGAGTTCAGGAATACGACCAAAAAATGAAAACTTTGCGGCCAGTAACTGGGCCTTTAAAAATGATTCGGTATCGTTTATAACCAAACCTCAAGAAATATCCATGTTCTGCTGCAATTCCAAGCTTCTTGCATGGGCGAAACCACTTGCTTAAGCTGTCCCTTCCTCGTCCACTCACAATGAAGACGACATTTTTTGCATCTGCACAAAGCGTGTTAAGGATAGAGATAACCTGTTCGCTCGGTGACTTATTTATGGAGTTTTGCGGCATCACAGTGCCATCGTAGTCCAAAAGAATGGCCCGACTATCAGCCCGACTGTAAGATGATACAATGGCATCTACTGAAAGTTTTCTGAAATTGGGATCAAGAGCTACAACCCTGAATCCAAAACTAAAACCAATTCCCCAACATCGTCTCCTGAAATGTTCTGAGCAAGTTCTCTCCATGTCTTGCAAGAAACTGCGAGACCAATAAGCCACGTCGTGTGTAGCAACATAACGATAATGCTTCTCATGTCGCAGCTGCTTCTCTGAATCAGCCATTGAGATTGCTTCATTAAAAGCCTCTGATGTACTCTCAACATTCCATGGGTTGACACGAAATGCTCCGCTCAGTGATGGAGTACACCCGATAAATTCGGATATGACGAGCATGCTCTTTTTTGGTCCGCTGAAGTTCAAGCATTTTTGAGAGGTGGATATTCCCTGTCTACAGACAACATACTCATAAGGAGTTAAGTTCATGCCATCTCTAACAGCAGTGACTGCTACGCACTCAGCAATGCTATAATAAGCAACCCTTTCAGTAATTGGCACGTGCCGGTCGAGAAGTACTATTGGCTCATAACCAGGATGCCCATACTCCTTATTGATCCTTCTGCAGCTTTCTTTTATTTCATCTTCTATTTCTTGTAAATCTCTTCCCTTGCCTCGGGCAGGGTTTACAATTTGGATCAGTACAGCCTTTCCCTGCCACTTTGGATGTTGCTTTAGCATCTGTTCCATGGCTAACAATTTCAAGTTAATACCTTTGAAAATGTCCATATCATCAACACCAAGCACCACCGTCTTCCCTGCAAATTGCTGCGTGAGTTCCCTAGTCTTAGCATCCTCGTCTGCAAGTTTCATCACCGATTCAATCCGATTCATATGAATACCAACAGGCATTATCTTTATTCCAATCGTCCTGCCGTAGTATTCCAATCCAAGATAGCCCCTTTTTGACTGGTATTCCAAACCCAACATTCGGCTGCAACAAGAAAGGAAATGGCGAGCATAATCGAAAGTGTGAAATCCGATGATATCAGAGTTAAGTAATGCCTTGAGAATCTCTTCTCTGACAGGAAGGGTGCGGTAGATCTCAGATGAAGGAAATGGACTATGAAGGAAAAATCCCATTTTAACTCTGTTAAAACGTCTTCTCAAGAAAGTAGGCAATACCATCAAATGGTAATCATGGATCCAGATATAGTCATCATCAGGGTTGATGACCTCTACAACTTTCTGGAAAAATAACTTATTTGCTGAGACATATGCCTCCCACATCGAGCGATCAAATCGACCCTTCTGATCAGCAGAATATGGCAGCATATAATGAAAAAGAGGCCACAAATTCCTCTTGCAGAAACCATCATAAAAATTTTCCAAAATATCAGGAGGCAAAAATGTAGGAATACACCTAAATTTCTCCAACAAAATCTGGGATACCTCATCTTGTTCGTCGGGTTGGATATCGACTTTCAGAGAACCGACGTAAAGAACCTCCATATCTTCTGGTAACCCATCTTTAAGCTGCAAAAGCAGCGAATCTTCATTCCAACTGAAACTCCAGGAATTATCATCCTCCCTTCGCTTTGCTCTTAAAGGAAGCTGGTTTGCTACAATTATCATCCGATCTGAGGAAATTGACGATGGGTTTTCAGATGTCACACTGTAGGCCTGATCGTCGTCAAGCTCAGCTACATTACCCGGAACAGTCATGACCCGCGGGAACCGCTTCCTTTTCACTTCCATTGCTGGAAAATTTCCAGAAGCCAAATCTAAAAGATTTGTGTAAGACCTTGAAATCATGTTTCTCCCCTTTATCCGCCAGATGAACGCTAATTCTTCAAATCAGAGGCAATTCAAACAACGCAACAAGCGCAGCGCCTAGCAATTCCGTAATACGAAACAAAAACAATCAAACCCTAAGCGTTCCGAAGCGCCATAAAGTTACAAAAAAGTATAACGAATATGCGAGGGTTAATAAAGTAGCAGATTATCCCCCAATCAAGCAATTAAGCCAATTTTATAACAGAAAAAACCCTGTTTAAGAGAAACACGAAGAGAAACCGATTCCCATCCAATGTACATGTAATCTTTCCTATTATTCTTATCCTATCTAGCCCGAAACCTCAAAAATTCTCTTTAATCCATATCAGAATCCAACCTCCAAGAAAAAGCAGCAGCAACCAATGCCCTCATTCCCAGAATTACGGAATTAGATCCATTCTTTAATCGAAACCGACATGGTACAACATTGAAAGAAAGATCAAATGCCAATCAAAAACACAACGAACAAATCTGAACCAATGAAATTCGACGCGTACCGGTTAAAACTGAGCAACGACCAGATCCCGAACGGTAACAAGAAGAAGAGAATGAACCAAACCCTAAAAAACGAAAAATGCTGCACAATTCGTAGTTCTTCGGAGCGCAAGAATTGGTTTCAATTCAAAGATTTGAAGCTGACCTCCCTCTAAGCTAATCGATCATTTCGATCCTTTCTGTGAAAACGGATTGTGAAACGGCTTAAATATCATTACCAATGACCTCCTCCAACGTCTACAGTGTATGATCCAGGAGCAAAATGAGGCGTTCGTTGGACTCACGACGCAATATAAATCATTTTCTACGGAACGAAAAATTAAAAATTAAAAAACAAAAAAACAAAAAAATGAAAATAATCTTCTGATATAGAAGGAAATATAGCGTGAAATTAACGATGAGGTTTTGATACCTTTACCAACGGGTGATAAAGTTACGTAGTTACCCAATGAGAGGCAGCATTGGCACATGCATGGGTCGGTAAAAAGAGGGCCTCTCCTACAGACTACAGCATGTTAAATTCACAGCCAATAATATATCACAGGCCTGTCACTATTACGTTAAAATATAAACATTCATTAAAGAAATTGGATAAGATTCAGCCAGCCCGAGTCTGAATCAGCAGAAGCTGGCATCGTTTGGCAGCAACACGCGCTTACCACGCGTTATTATGTCAACACTTTCTGCCATGGCCGGAAGCTTTTTCGACGGCGACGATTATCTAATTACGACACGTGTACGACCCGATTGAATCTCCCAGACGTGCTTCGACGTTTAAGTATACTGTAAAGAGCGTGTTGAAGCATTTACATTATTACCGTTTTTAATTGTCAACAAATATATTCTATTTAGAAAATACTTTTTTAAGTTGAGACAACTACGAATAATAAAAAAGCGATCCCAAGGGCCTCTAAATGGGCTCGACTTGGGCCTGATTTTCATGAACCGGCCCAATGGGCCGGTTGAAGAATAAAATATTTGGGCTTGATATTGTAGGGCTTTACCCCGAAGGGAGCCCTTCCAGAAATTCTCGAAGGCCTGGGCCAAACCCAGGCCTAAGAGGGGGTTTGGAAATAGTTTTCAACCAGCAATTGACGCGCCTCGGTTAGAACCTCACTAGCTGCGTCATTGCCCCAAGCGCAAAGATATTTATAAAGTTGAGATATCCTTCCTTTTTATACTGCTCCACCACAACTTAGCTTTGATTTCTTTCGATGTGGGACTAAGTAGCTCTTCAAAAGTGAATCAAAATTAGTTCACCTTCGTCAAACATTAAATTGAGGGTTCTAACTCAAAATTAACCAAATTTTTACACAGTTTTTCGTTAAAATTAGTGACAAATTCATTAATATTAAACGGAGATTAAAAATTTAATGGTTTATTTAAGGTTTTATGTTCTAAATGGATGAAAGTTTCAGGTACAGTGCAAAATTCAAATTCACTGTTCTATGCTTTACTTTTCCATAGCTCCCGACCAAAGAACTCCACTAAAACGGAGGGAATAGTTTTACCTTATATATATATAAATGCTTTTGGCATACTCTCCTTCTTGGAGTTCCAAATTTTCTTCGGTTCGAAGAACGAAGTGGGAGGCTTAGAGGAAGTCTTATGGCGGGTTATAAGGGCCATGATGAATATGATTACTTGTTTAAGCTGGTTTTGATCGGTGATTCTGGGGTAGGCAAATCAAACCTGCTCTCGAGGTTTACCAGGAACCAATTTAATTTAGAATCGAAGTCTACGATTGGGGTTGAGTTTGCTACCAAGAGTTTGGATATTGATGGGAAGGTAATCAAGGCTCAGATTTGGGATACTGCGGGACAAGAAAGGTTTGCTTCTTCGTTGTTCTTTCTTGAAGTTTCAATCGATTTCAGTTTTAAGTCAACTTCCGATTACTGTTGCATGATTTCCTTGCTTCTAATCAATCGATTCTTTGCCCGAATATTGTTTGTGTCGATTGAATATTAATCATATCGATATATCTTACAGTTGCTTGAAATTTCTGGAGTTGATTCGTTTTAGACAGCTTTTTACCTTTAATTTGTGGTTAAAGAAAGGGGAAGGGTTGGATTATTTGTCGACAAAATCGTAGGATATGAGGCAAAGGAAGGCCTCCCTTGATTTTGTTGCTATCGTGTAGAATCTGATGCTCATGTTCAACCTGGTTCTATAAACAGGAAAATCGATATTCACCGAGTGCTCTGTTTTCCCCTCCACTACTTGTTTCTATGCTTGCAGCTCGATTATGATTACTAGTAGGACTGATTGAAAATTAGCCTTATCTTTGGAACTCTGATGGCTTCAAATGTTTAGTTTATCTTTTTTACCGTAACTCATCAGCTTAAGTTTGGAGTTCATTAGTGATTTAACATGGTATCAAAGCGGTTAATGTTCTATGTTTGAACCTCTAATAATGTCATTTCTTCCCCAAATTAATATCGATTTCTACTTGTTGAGCCTTCTACAAAATTCTAAGCCCACAAGTTAGAGAAAGCGTTGAAATATTAATATACTTAAATTTTGCGTAACGCATCAACTTAAGCTTTTGAATTCGTTGTTGGTTTAACGATTTCGGTAGGGAATGATTGTGTTTCTGGCTTTTGTAGTGCTTGTTCTAGTTTTTATTTGCTTGTCCATTCGAAGAACTTGTGGTAATAAGTCTGCATCGTTGCAAAATGAAACGGAGATTTTCTGATAAATTTTCGAGGTTGGTACTCGGAGGTCATAATGTCCGGATCGTATGATGGTGCTTAGACTACTTTTCTTGTGTCCCTGGAAAAAGATCCCCATCGGTTCGACATTCATACTGCCTTCCTTGTAGTTATGGTCAAAATACATGCAATGGTCTGGTTTGATATTAAGAATTGTAGCCTAGTTCAAGCTCAAGGCTTGTCTTTACTGATACAATGGTCTGGTTTGATATTAAGAATCAGAGACCATTTATTGAAATGTGCATAAGCTGGCATCCAATGGTTTCTTTAGTTGTGCAAAGGCTCCGTAGGCTGTACGAGCACAAGTAGTCGTGTGAACTGTTTACGATATACTTGATATATCGAATAATTCAGGAATGTTTCTTGTTATGGACATGCTGAAGCTAGCAGCTAAAGACTAGTTATTACATTAGTATGAACCATAGAAGTATTAAATACTCGTAGTTGTTTGAACTCTGATATTTTCGAATTGCCATATGTATCGAATGAATCATAGGACATGTGTTGCTGCGCTCAACATTCCTTGGTTAGTCATTTGTTGTTTTCTTGTAACAGCTCAAGCTCACCGCTAGCAAATATTGTCCCCTTTAGACTTTCCCTTCTGGACTTCCTCTCAAGGTTTTAAAACGTGTCTATTAGGGAGAGATTTCCACACCTTGTTTCGTTCATCTCTCGAACCGATGTGAGATCTCACAATCGACCCCCCTCGGGGCCCAGCATCCTCGCTGGAACTCGTTCCCCTCTCCAATTGATGTGGGATCTCACAATCCACCCCTCTGTAGGATCTAGCATCCTTGCTGGCACTTGTTCCTATCTCCAATCGAGGTGGGATGTTACGTTTCTTTTCTACCCATTTGAGGTTTAAAATTCTTTTTGTTCATAATGATTGTCATTTTTTTCATTTTTCCATGGTTTTTTTTCTCTTTTCTTTTCTTCTTTTTGGATAAGATTGTTTTGCCATGGTGAGGACATTATGTTGTGATCATACTCTTATTTGCTTCCTTAGATTCAGATCAGCTCTATCTGTGTAGGTACCGAGCGATAACCAGCGCTTACTACCGAGGTGCAGTAGGTGCTTTGCTCGTGTACGATGTCACTCGACGTTCAACGTTTGAAAATGCAGCAAGATGGTTAAAGGAATTGAGGGATCACACAGATCCAAACATGGTAGTAATGCTCATTGGCAACAAATGTGATTTACGCCACCTTATTCTTGTTCCAACAGAAGATGGACAATCCTTTGCTGAGAGGGAGTCTTTGTACTTCATGGAGACCTCTGCACTCGATGCAACAAACGTCGAAACCGCTTTCACCGAGGTGCTCTCTCAAATATATCGAATCGTAAGCAAGAGATCAGTCGAGGCAAGCGATAGCGGAAGTGCTTCAGTGACCCTCCCAACAAAAGGCCAGACAATAGATGTCAAGGACGACTCATCGATTCTGAGGAGGATCGGATGTTGCTCCAGCTAAGAAAAATAAGCTTCGAGCCTGACTCGGAATTACAGCAAGCAACATTTCTTCTGTGTATATAGTTGTATTGTATCACTTTCTGTAGATTAAGAGCTCGGTCGTTCGTGATGGTTGTTACAAAGGCGCCTTCCATATAAGTGTGGAGTTTGCTCTTCTTTCAATTCGAACATTTGAAACCTGAAATTTACCGTTGTCGTGTTTACTCTTTGGTATCAAACCTCCAAAGCGAAAAAGAAATTATTAATTTCGTATATATCTTTGGAAATATTCTTCGATTTCAACTATGTTCTTAAACTTTATATTGAAACTTTTAATTTCTCGTAAAATAATTATCTTTATCAACGTATTTTTTTAATAAAAATGTTCGTCATTTTTTTGCCTTCACTTTATTAAAAAAATATTTTTTAAAAAATAAAATAATAAAATAATTTTGGTAGTAGATGCTCAACTAAAAAACATTTCATTATTTCTCAACAATCTTGGCTAGCTTTCACTGTACAAACACAAACCCACCGAACCCATTTTAAAACTAAATTAAAAAAAAAAAAAGTAATTATAATTCTCTCTCTCTCTCTCTTCTTCTCTGTTTGTGAAGTGTCCAAAGCAAAGACCAATTGGCAATTGCCAAGTGGAGCTATAAAAGCGAAAGAAAGTGTCGGTCTTGTTCCTGTAAAACAAACGAACTAAAGCCTAAAAAAATCCTAGCAGTCTAATACTCTGCCACGTGTCCGGTTCGGTCCGTCCGGTTGGACCGCTCGCCGTCGCCCGAAAACCATAGAGCCTTCAGGTAACTCCCCAAGGTCAGCAAATAACGATTCGTCCTCGTCATTTCCTCTTGTGGACAAAACCATTACATCGGCGTCGTCGAATATGTCGCCTCCCCCGCAAATTGGGCCCTCCAGGATTCTATCGTATGCCACGTCAGCCAACCATCCAAAATCGCCGATGCATGGTTTTATCATCAGCGAGTCGCCGCCGAGTTCTAGTTCTGGCTGACTCGCGAAAACCGCAGCCGCCTCCTCGAATTTCGCCGCTGCCGACAATGAGGGATCGGTGTTCGTATGGTCGCCGGAGGAAGTTGACGACGACGTCGTAGTGCTCCCAGGGGATGAGGAGTCGGGCGCAGCGGCGATCGCGGCGGAGGACGGCGAGGAATTGTGGTGGTGGTGGTGAGATTTGGTGGCCGGGAGTTGGTGATTGTGGTCGAAAGCGTAGGTAATAACGAGCTTGGTGGGGTCCACACGGCTTCTCTCTACTTGCTTTCTGGCTGGGCAGCCCTTGGAGCTACTACATCGATAATATCCCCTATAATAAAAAATATATATAAACAATAATTAAAAAAAACGTGAGATTAATATAAATATTCCAAAAATAAAATAAAAAATCAATAGCCAATAACGAAGCTAAGAAATATAAAATAAAAAAAATTAAAACTTTCATTAAAACAAATTAACTTATTTAAATTTATATTAAAACGGGAATAAATATGAAATTTTGACTTTTTTTTCTTTTTTTGACTCAAACAATTTGACAATTTGATTTATATATGCCGACCAAAAACAATAATATGTTTTTTTTTTCCTAAAAAAAGCAATTAAGTAATATTTTATCCAAAGAAATTTCAGTATGCCTTCGATGTGAAAGGCACCTTGGAAAATGTCGTAATTTCCGTTTGTAGAAAATTAATTAAAATTCAAAGACCGTTTAAAATATTCAATTTCAGAAATAATTAAAAACCGTGCAATAATTAGGTAAATAAGAAAATAAATAGAGCAATAATTAAAATTTGAAGACTATTTTATAAAAAAAATATTTTTAATACACGCCAGATTGAATTCGGCGTAATTAGGGCAATAATTAGGTAAAAGAAAAAGGAAAAAAAAAAGAAAAAAAGGTGAAGAAAGTGAGCGTGTTGTACACGCTACTGTGAGAGCGATTGGATAATGAGTATGATCCCAATTCCCAACTAGACAAATAAAAAAAATCAAGCGCTTAATAGCAAAAGCCGCCTTTAAGCTAAAATGCGCCAATCTCTATCCAGATCCCATAGTAGCCGGCCGGCAGCCGGCGGCAGCGGCGGCCAACAAAGTCTAGAATTGAAATCTCAACCATTTTTTCAACTACTTAATTAAATGAGCTCAAATTAATATCGAAATGCACCAAAATAAATGCAATTCCATCTACGACTAGAACGTAATTAATGAAATAAATAGATATTAATCATCCAAAAAAACCCCAGAATTACCGAAAATGCCCCTCGAGTTTGTATAATCTATTGGTGTACCTGGGATAAGGAGAGCCTTTGATTGGCTTTTGGCCGTATTTCCTCCATGCCCATGAATCGGACGGTGGATATGCTTCCCCTTTGCTCTTAGATCCCTCCACGTCGCCGATCGGTACGGACACTACTCTCTTCTGAACTCCCCTTCTACTGTATACAACAAAACCCCCAAACAGCACAAACAATCAAATTACAACTCAAAATTATGATTATTAAAAATAAAAATAAAAATTCAAACTGACCTCTTTTTGGGAGGGGGGCCGGCGGCGGGTTTTGAATCATTGTCGTCGGAGGGTGACTCCGGTAGGCCGTCGTCCGACGTGGCTTCTGGATCTTCTTGCTCTGAGACAAATGGGTTCGTACGAACACGGCGGTCCATGGCCGGAACAACAACAAACAATCAAAGAGAGAGACAGAGAGAGAGAAACCCGGTGGCCGGAATTTGTATGATGACGATGAATCCTGCGGCTGAGAATAGAGAGAGAAAAAGGAATTGGGATTTGGGCGGAGAGATTGGGTAAGGAGAGGAGTGAGAGAATTAGATGAGGTTTAATACAAAGAGCAGTCATGGTGACAGATTGGCAGACTATGTTTGTTTATTAGGGACGTGCAAGCAAATACGCACTAAATTATAATGTTTTAGTTGAGGATTAAGGCTAAGGGGTTTAGCTTCTATACGCTCAGTTGCACTGTAAGGTTATTCAATTATTAGATACATTAAAATTTAATTACCCCCACTTTTTATATTATATTTAATAAAAACTTTAAAAAAATATCATTTTTATTTATCTCTAATAAATAAATACTTTTAAATATTGTATTTGTTAATTTCATTTTATAGTTTGAAACCTAATGGGAATCCGGATTACACACTCCCTAAAAGTTCACACCGTGACGTGACGGAGGGAGTTGTAATTAATGTTAATAAATATATTTAGAAGAATAAATATTGGGATAATTATTTTAATTTGATGGCTTAATTAATAGGAAATAATATTTTATTGTTATTTGGTAAAAGTTTTATCTGGTTATTTAGAGAGTAGTTGAAGCATTGAGACGCTTCATTTGATTTGCGGCGTTGTTGCTCCATGCAAGAATCAAATCCCTAAGGCAAGATGGTTAGGTAAAGGCGATAAGGATGAGGACATAATTTCATTTCTTTTTTTTTATTATTATTATTCGATAAAAATTAAAAATTTGAATACTACCCCTCAATTTTTATAACATATTTTTTTTTATTATTTATACAAATAAATTTAAATCGATATCCAAATTTTAAAAAATAAAAATTCATTTTTTTATTGTTCTAAAAAAAATTTAGTCTGATTTTTAAGTCAATTTCAAAAGTTACAAAAATAAATAAATAAATTTTAACTTACCAAGTTCGATTAGAAGTATCTTTAGATTGTTAAAAAACGATAGGCGAGAGAGTCGAACGGCAACGAAGGGTGACCAAAAATGGTATGAGAGTCGAGAGACACGAGGAAGATGGTAGAATGCAACGAAACGAGAGAGAGAGGGGAGTTGTAGATGACTAAAATGAACAAATATATATATATATATATATATATATATACTCGACTGTAGAGGATGGAATGAATTTACTCGACTATCAAATTTAGAATTGAGTTCCATTGCATTAATGAATCCGGTTGGGAAGACTGAAAGAGGATAGGGGAATCTGATTCGCTCGTGAACCTATTAAGTCAGGTTTAAGGAAGGAAAGGAGAAACTGAGTGAACCTCTCTCTATAAAAAATATATATATATTATATATTTATTTATTTATTTATATTTATATTTATATCTATATCCGTCAATTGAACTGAAAATTTATGTTTTAAACTCGCAAATAGCACGGAACTAGTCTAGTGAGCTACGACTGTATCCAATGTATAAAAGAAGCTAGAGTAAAAGTAAAAAAAAAAAAAAATATATATATATATATATTTTTTTTTTTTTTAATTTAATAACCCAATAGAAATTAATAAACAATATTTTAAAATTGAAACTAAAATGATATTTAAAAAATATATATATAAAACAGTTCAAGAACCCCACACGTTAAGTTAATTTGACGTTAGTGTTGGGTTAATGTATTTATGTTTTAATCTCGCAAATAGCACGAAACTAGTCTAGTGAGCTACTGAGCTACGGCTATATCCAAGATATAAAAGAAGCTAGAGAAAAAGTAAAAAAAAATATTTTTTTTTTAATTTAATAACTAAATAGAAATTAATAAATAATATTTTAAAATTGAAACTAAAATGATATTTAAAAAATATACATAAAAAAAAGTTTGAGAGCCCCACACGTTAAGTTAATTTGACGTTAGTGTTGGGTTAATGTCAAGCGGCATGCAAATGTGCCTAACTTAATTGGAAAATTTCGAACTCAAATAAAAATAATAATTTTAAAAAATAAAATTAATGAGAATTTTTGAAGGGGGGAAGAGATCAATGGTGGCGACCAACGAAAAAAATTGGAAATTTGTCGTTTAGCTTTGGACGTCACCAGCTTGCAAATTATTGTTCAAACTTCTACAAAAACTACGTTTGAACGGTTGGCCAATGAGAGAGGAATCTTGGCACATGTTGACTTTTAATAAAAACAAATAAAATAAATTATTTTTAATCATAGGACAACCATTAATTAATTAATTAATTTATTATTGTATAAAAATTTCAAAATAATGAAATTCAAGCAGCCAGCTCGTGTTGGGGTTCGCCATTAGAACTACCATATTTATTACCATTCACACCTATCAAATCTACTTTATTTCTTTTTTACCGAGTTTTCGTAGCTACAAAATTATCTTTTTTTTTACCGGCATTCTCGTGACAATAAAGTAAAATTTACTACTAAAGCTCAGACGAGCTCTCGTAAGGGAGTACAGTAAATTTTTTTTTGTAATGGTTTTACAGAAGATCCTATGAGCTCGCTATCACATTTAGAAACTAAAACTCGACTAAT